AAGCAGTGGGAAGACATAAATCACCAGGGATAGGTGATAGAACTCTTTCAAGCTACAGTGATTTCATCTGTCAAAATCTTAACAAGAAGCTGCCAACAAATATGGAAAACAAAACAATGGCGCACAGACTGGAAACACTCAATATACATTCCAGTCCCTTAGAAAGGAGATACCAAGGGGTGTAGTAACTAGGATCATTGCTTTAATTGTCCATGTAAGCAAAGTGATGCTCATGGTGTTGCAACAAAGGCTTTTAACTTATGTGCCCTAGATTGAAGAAGCTACTTGGATGAGTAGCGAAATGTTTCAACCTAGTAAGAAAGAAGTCCGGTTGCCATGACTCAACTTCCAGCTTTTACCTTATATGGAGGAGAAATGCTTGATGTTCAAGCTGGATTTCGAAAAGGAAGAGGCACTAGAAATTGTATTGCAAATATCTACTGGCTACTGGAGAGCACCAAATAATTTCAGAAGCAGATCAGCCTGTGCTTTATGGCCTACAGCAAAGCCTTTGATTGTGTAGATCATGCAGAACTATGGGTTGTTCTGAAATAAACTGGTGTAACTAATCACTTGATTGTTCTGATGCATAACTTGTATTGTGGACAAGAAGCTTCTGTTAGGATAGAATAATCAGAGACAGAATTCTTTCTTATAGGCAAGTATGTCAGACAAGGGTGAATTTTATCCCCTTATCTGTTGTTTGTATGAGGAACATATCCTATGGAAAACCAGACTAGATTGATGTGAAGCTTAGTGGAAGAAACACTGATGATGTGAGCTATGCAGATGACACCATCTTACTGGCTGAAAGCAGCAACAACCTGAAATGACTTTTAGTGAAAGAAAGTGCCAAAACATAACTGCAGTTGAATTTTAAGAAGACAAAAATCATGACTACAGAAGAACTACACAACGTCAACATGGACAAAGAAGAAACTGAAACAGACATTTTGTATACCTTGGTTCAATCACCAATCCAACATGGACAAAGAAGAAACTGAAATAGAAATTTTGTATACCTTGGTTCAATCACCAATCCAAATGGAGATTGCACTTCCTATCTTTGGAGTAAAAAATGTTGAAACTGAAGCTGCCCTATTTTGGACTCATCGTGAGAAAGTAGGATTTTGTCAAGGAAAATTACAGGCCTGAGCAGAATGGAGTGTATTAATGAGGAAGATAAAATATGAGATGGACTGACTCCCACAGGCTTTACAAGAACTGAGCAGGGCTGCACACAGGCTTTACAAGAACTGAGCAGGGCTGTTGAGAATGGGACATTTTGGAGAGCATTCATTCATAGGTTGCTATAAGTTTGAGTCCCCTTCACAGATTGCTGCATACATTCATAGGTTGCTATAAGTTTGAGTCCCCTTCACAGATTGCTGCCTTGTCATGGCGAACGGGCTTCAGTAATTCAGAAAAGCATGGCAAGTTCTTAAAGAAATTGGAGTGCCTGACCACCTCATCTATCTCCCGAGAAATCTATACATGGGACAGGAAGCAACAATTAGAACTGGATATGGAACAACTGATTGGTTCAAAATTGGGAAAG